CATGTCCGAACTACACTTCTAGCTATCTGCAATGGCTATGTGCGAAATTACTATTTTAGAAACTATTTCTGCAACTTTGCAGCGTAACAACAGCATAAACTACTATGACAAAGATCACCTCAGCGACAGATTTCTGTGCTTTATTCAGTGTTAAATGCGAGTTCAAATACATTTACCTGACATTAATTGCTGTACTGAAAGCATCAGCAGATAGTTCACTTCATATCTTTTTCAAATAACTAGCAGATGGTTTGAGAATGAACGTCTGAACTGAAACTCAGTGCAGACCAATACAATCAGTCACTCAGTAGCTTATTAAAAATGTTAAAGAACATTTCTTCAGGAGTGCAGTTGCACTGTTGTGTGGTGCAGACAGACCAATTGATTGTTGCTGGAATCTTGCTGTGGATCTGGTGGGATTAGGGCCGGAGCAAGCTGAACTGCCGCTCTAAGCAAAGGACGATCATGCCGCCCTCCATAGATATATACATCTATCTATTACCGCCCGAAACTCGAAAGGGAAAACGGAAATGACCGGTTATCAAATTAAAGTGGGGGGAGGGGGGGGGGGGGGGGGTGGGGTTGTATGGGCTGCTGGGTCGCGGACATAATTGAGGGCGCGGGTGTTGAGGGTGGTGTCGTGGACATAACTGAGGACGCAGGTGTTGAGGGTGGTGTCGCGGACGCCACCCTCTCTATTCCGCTGCCCTAAGTGGTTGCCTAGGTCGCCTCTATGGATGCGCCGGCCTTGGGTGTGATTCAGCTGAAGGACAGCAAACCAAGAGCCAACATGAGCACAGCATGACAACCAGCATGGGGAAATGTCAACACAGCTTTTTTTTCTGGTTTTATTAATGAACAAAATGTCCGCTACAGTTGTTTCTGTTGTACTGTTAGGAATCATGCTAACGTTTAAGACAGGGGTCAAAATCTCGGTCCTGGAGGGCCAGAGTCCCTGCAGGGTTTAGCTCCAACTTGCCTTAACACAACAGCCTGAGTGTTTCGAGTATACCTAGTAAGAGCTTGATTAGCTTGTTCAGGTGTGTTTGATTAGGGTTGGGGCTAAAATCTGCTGGACACTGGCCCTCCAGGAACAAGTTTGGGGATCCCTGGTTTAAGATATCCCTGCTAAAAAATCCAGCTTAAACCAGCCTAGGCTGGTTGGCTGGTTTTAGCTGGTCAACCAGACTTGTTTTAGAGGGGTTTTGGCCACTTCCAGGCTGATTTCCAGCCATTTCCAGCCTGGTCTTAGCTGGTCAGGCTGGAAAATGACCAGCTAAATCCAGCTAAAACCAGCTTGACCAGCCGGGTTTAAGCTGGACATAGCTAGGTTTGGCTGGGCTCCCAGCCTGCTAGGCTGGTCAAGCTGGTTTTAGCTGGTCATCTCCCAGCCTAACCAGCTAAGACCAGGCAGGAAATGGCTGGAAACCAGCCTGGAAGTGGCCAAAACCCCTCTAAAACCAGCCTGGTTGACCAGCTAAAACCAGCCAACCAGCCTAGGCTGGTTTAAGCTGGATTTTTCAGCAGGGATGCCTATGGCACATCTTGGCACATCTTGATTGTTGTTCAATCTGACATTATGACAACTGAGATCTTGAAGTGTGACATGGGAGCCATGTCTGTAATTGCACTGTGTAAACCAGGTTTAACTCTTGAACCGATCAACTCTTTTACTTGTACCATCAGGAATCTGCAATCATAGAGGAATCAGACGAATCAGCAAGCCTATCGTGAGCCAGCTGAACGCAGACCTGAACGGAGCCTTCAAGTATGGCGGATGGGGAAAAGACTCCAAGCCCTTGTCCGGCTCAGAGAGCATGTACTGGTACTCGGGCAGCTCAGACACGCTGGTCAGCAAAATCTCCCAGTACTCGGCCTACTACACACTGATCACCAGGCAGAGCTTTAAAGCTCATCTGCTGTATGTGGATCGCCAATACGACTGGCGCGGCGCTGGAAACAACTATGTAGTGAGGGAAAACAACCTGTATTATCAGTACAGAAGCCCTTTCGCGATGGCAAAGTTCAACATGACCAGTGCAAAAGTGGAGACCAAGGTGGTTCCCAAAGCCAGCACACAATTCTCCTACCATTACTCCGCCAACCAGAACCTGGACTTCGCCGCTGATGAGTCCGGCCTGTGGGTGACGTACGCCACGGCAGACTCGAAGGGTAAACTAGTCCTAGGGAAGATCAATGAACAGTCATTCGCAGTCGAGACGGTCTTTCAGACCAGTGTTTATAAACCCTCTGTCGGCAACACTTTCATGGTGTGTGGGGTTTTATATGCCACAAGGTCTGTAGACACTAAAACCGAGGAGATCTTCTACACCTTTGACACTCACACCCAAAAGGAAAGCTACGTTAGCATCCCCTTTGAGAAGTTCCATGACTTCTACTCTTACTTAGACTACAACCCCACCGATCAGAAACTGTACATGTTCAACAACGGTTACTACGTCAGCTATCATGTGTGGTTCAACCAGGAGGCCTCCGCAGATAAAAGCCTCGTCGACTGAGCGACTTGAGAATGTTGAATAAGATGTCGTTCACCTGATGAACACAGAACAGCAGTAAACGTGACGTGTTTCTGTTTGTGTAATAAAGTCTGTTGAGCAGAATGATGCATGTGTGCAGTTTTGTCTTTATATTGAATGTGATTTTATACATTTTCATTTCTTTTTATGAGGTCACTAGTACTTTGTATTCATTGCATTTTTCTGTTGATCTAATCTAGTAATCAATTAAAATGGTGAGCCATACAATATTGAAAATGCATTACAGATAACACTACAAAGGCAATCTTTCATTCAATTCCGTATGACCTAAAAGTGAATGTCAGCTGATCTACCATGACAATATATTATAGTAATACATAGTGAGTACTATAGTGTGGTCGTACCTTACTATAAAGTGCCTGAGGCAATCCTTGTGGTGATTCTACAGTTGCTATGGTAACACAACAACTATAGTAATTGATCTGTTGTGGTGATTCTATGGTTGCTATGGTAACACAACAACTATAATGATCTGTTGTGGTGATTCTATGGTTGCTATGGTAACACAACAACTATAATGATCTATTGTGGTGAATCTACTGTTGCTATGGTAACACAACAACTATAGTAATTGATTTGTTGTGGTGATTCTATGGTTGCTATGGTAACACAACAACTATAATGATCTGTTGTGGTGATTCTACGGTTGCTATGGTAACACAACAACTATGGTAATTGATCTGTTGTGGTGATTCTATGGTTGCTATGGAAACACAACAACTATAGTAATTGATCTGTTGTGGTGATTCTACAGTTGCTATGGTAACACAACTATAGTAATATAAACAAATGACCCAATACTGTAGTTTTTCACAATTATAGGGTTTATTATACTACAATACACCACAGTTTACTGTAGTAAAAACTAAAGTATACTACAGTATTACAATTTATCAGATAACTACAATATGATTAATATTACAATATGCTGAAACATTCATTATCAAAGAGTTGTAAATACTACAATATATACAGCATAATACTATAGTATTTTGGTCATGTTGGGTGTTTTTAGCATCACTGTCTCTTTTTATATGCTGCAGAAACTGTGGAGTGTTGTTTAATTCATAAAGGCATTCATTCATTCTTTTTTTTTTTGGCTTAGTCCCTTTAATTACCAGGGGTCTCCACAGCGGAATGAACTGCCAACAATTCCAGCATATGTTTTACACAGCAGATGCCCTCCAGCTGCAACCCATCTCTGGGAAACATCCCCACACACTCATTCACACATACACTACGGACAATTTAGCCTACCCAATTCCCATATAGCGCATGTGTTTGGACTGTGGGGGAAACCGGAGCACCCGGAGGAAACCCACGCCAACACGGGGAGAACATGCAAACTCCACACAGAAACACCAACTGACCCAGCCGGGACTCGAACCAGCAACCTTCTTGTGTTAGGCAACAGCACTACCTACTGCGCCACCACGTCACCCCAACTTTATTTAATTTAATGTAATTTCATAACTTTGCATATTGATCATTTATTTAAACATATTAAGGCAACGTGTTTACTCACTTTATAAAGTCAACTAATTGTTTTAGAAGTAACAGGTTTAATCACTTATTTTTAAGTAAAGTCAACTATTGTTTTTTTTTACAGTGCACAAAACATTTCAAAGCACTGACACCGTATTTTATACCTGCTTCTGTCTATTTAGATTAAATATTGCCACTAATTTCTCTCTCAGTTACTTTTTTGTAATGATATAAATCTGTCTTAAAAATGAAAACTGCTTCCTTTGAAAAATAATACAAATATGTTTGTGCACATAAAAAATATCAGTAAATGAGCAGCTTTCCTGTTCATGTTTTATTTTTCCCCGCTTATTTCTTGCATTGTGGAAGCTTAATCTTTCTTGCAACATCTTTTAACCTTGATATATTGTAAAAAGTGTGTTTTCTGCACATGTGTATGAGTCTGTAGTGCTATATTGTCTGGGTTAACGTTGTATATTACGCTATAAACACCTTGTAATAAACTCCAGCACATTTTCTGGTATTTTACCATAGACTGTAAAAGATATTATTACTATTATTAATATTATTTTATTATTAAGTATTTTACTGACTTATTTCTCTACATATTATTTATTATATTATTTCAAACCACTAAAGTGTCAATAAAAGTCTGTGTTAAACTGTAGAGTCAAATTTACCTCATAAGAAGTAGACAGAGCAGAGATCAACATCCCATAATGCAATTCACAACTGTAAATAACCATAAAACACTTGAGAATTAGAAAATATGGCAGCTTTTTCCAGTGTGTGCTGTTGTATTTCTTCAGCAGGGATGCTTGTTGTGCTTTATGGTTTAACTATTACACCCCTGATGGACTGAGACAGTCATTATGTCGGCATGATAATACTCTGCAAACTCTCTCCAGCTTTTCCAAACAATCTGTTCTCTCAAGGCTGATGAACAATCCAACCTTAAAACATCCGCTAATAAAACACGCAGGACATCCTGAGCAAACAGGCCGCTCTTCATCATCATCATCATCAGTGTGAGAAGCAGACATGTGCTGTAGATTACTGCTGATATCAGGCTGCATATATAAAGCTGAAGCTCTGAGGAGAAGCTCATATTGTGGACTCATGATGATGATGATGAAGATCCTCCTGCTGTCCGTCTTCATGCTCGCGGCTCCGGCTCAGGCCTGGCTGGTAAGAGTTTCTCCCATTTTTTTCATGTCTGACTTATTTGACTTATTTTTAACCCTCTTATAGAAACTTGATCTATGAAAATAGGCATATATATATATATATATATATATATATATATATAGTGCAGGGCAAAGATTAATCGCATTCAAAAAAAGTTTTTTATATATATATATATATTTATTATACAGCAGAATTATTCTCCCTCCTGAGAGTTTCTTTAATTAATTCTTTCTCAAATATTTCCCAAATGATGTTTCTCAGATTCAGGAAATGTTCACAGTATTTCCTGTAATGTTTGTTCTTCTGGAGAAAGTCTCATTTGTTTTATTTTGGCTAGAATAAAAGCAGTGTTTAATAGTGTTAAAGTCATGTTAAGCTCAATATTATTCGCCCCTTCAGCAATATTAGTGTTGGATTGTCTCCAGAACAAACCACTGTTATACAATGACTTGCCTAATTACCCTAACTTTACCCTAATTACCCTAGTGAAGCCTTTACATGACACTTTAAGCTGAATACTAGTGTCTTGAAGAATATCTGGCGTGTGTGTGTGTGTGTGTGTGTGTGTGTGTGTGTGTGTGTGTGTGTGTGTGTGTGTGTGTGTTGAGCAGTCTTTGGAGGACTGGGGCTCGGGCAGTGTGGACGGCTCCATCGGGGACTTGGGCCAGTGTGTCTGTAATGTGTTCCTGCCTGACACTTCATTCCCAGCGGACCGGATGGAGCAGATGCAGAGCTCCTCCAAACAGCTGGCGGTGGAGGTCCAGATCCACATCAGCAAGGTACACGGCAAACAGTCCACAGTACATTGTGTTCATCAACCAGCTGGTACTATAGTCATTTACAGTAAACACTGAGGGAAAGCACTTCACTTAGACTGTTGTGGTGATTCTACAGTTGCTATGGTAACACAACAACTATAGTAATTGATCTGTTGTGGTGATTCTACAGTTGCTATGGTAACACACCAACTATAGTAATAGATCTGTTGTGGTGATTCTACAGTTTCTATGGTAACACAACAACTATAGTAATTGATCTGTTGTGGTGATTCTACAGTTGCTATGGTAACACAACAACTATAGTAATTGATCTGTTGTGGTGATTCTACAGTTGCTATGGTAACACACCAACTATAGTAATAGATCTGTTGTGGTGATTCTACAGTTTCTATGGTAACACAACAACTATAGTAATTGATCTGTTGTGGTGATTCTACAGTTGCTATGGTAACACAACAACTATAGTAATTGATCTGTTGTGGTGATTCTACAGTTGCTATGGTAACACACCAACTATAGTAATAGATCTGTTGTGGTGATTCTACAGTTTCTATGGTAACACAACAACTATAGTAATTGATCTGTTGTGGTGATTCTACAGTTGCTATGGTAACACAACAACTATAGTAATTGATCTGTTGTGGTGATTCTACAGTTGCTATGGTAACACACCAACTATAGTAATAGATCTGTTGTGGTGATTCTACAGTTGCTATGGTAACACAACAACTATAGTAATTAATCTGTTGTGGTGATTCTACAGTTTCTATGGTAACACAACAACTATAGTAATTGATCTGTTGTGGTGATTCTACAGTTGCTATGGTAACAAGTCAACTATAGTAATTGATCTGTCGTGGTGATTCTACAGTTGCTATGGTAACACGTCAACTTTAGTAATTGATCTGTTGTGGTGATTCTACAGTTGCTATAGAAACACAACAACTATAGTAATTGATCAGTCGTGGTGATTCCACAGTTGCTATGGTAACAGGTCAACTATAGTAATTGATCTGTCGTGGTGATTCTACAGTTGCTATGGTAACAAGTCAACTATAGTAATTGATCTGTCGTGGTGATTCTACAGTTGCCATGGTAACACGTCAACTTTAGTAATTGATCTGTTGTGGTGATTCTACAATGCTGTAGTTTAGTCAAATAATAAATCATTTCTGTCATCGAATAAATTCAGAATGGGCGGGGCCAAGTTTTATAGAATTTACCAGTAGAGTCCCAGATGTACTTCACTTTTTTCTACAGAGAGGAATGAGATAAGATCTGTTAACTAGATATTGGAAGGTAAGCTGTTAATTCATGGATATTTTTACTGTCTACTTAATAATACTAAAGTCCTATAGTAACAACAACAGCAATTCTCCATCTCGCATTCAAAAGTCTACTAAATCAGTGCTTTTTGCTATCATTCTGCATGCATTACCTGGTTATGCAGGTCATCCTGGTGCTCTTCTATACTGAACTCATTCTCTGTGTGTGTCTTCAGCTCAGCAGCCTGAAGGTTGAGCTGGTGGTTCTCCTGGAGAGTCTCTCCAACCTGACGGCCAGGCTGGAGGTTCTGGAGAGCGGACCGGACAAATACATCAAGCTGGAGTTCGAGCTGCTGCGTGTGGAGCTGAGGGAGTTCGAGGCTCTGGTCACGCAGATCAAAACATCACTGAACTCCTCCTCCAGCGCCTTCGACAGTCTCTACGCTGAGGTCAGGCGTTTTAGCACAATTTAGTAAACCAAAACTAAATAAACTAAATAATCGGACAAGGGTGTAAGCAAAATAATCTCATGTCAAAGGAAAACAAGATTGTTTTGCTTACCCCATTTTTACCCTCAAGTACTTCCCAAACGACGTTTCTCAGATTCAGGAGTTTCTCACAGTTTCCTCTAATATTTATTCTTCTGGAGAAAGTCTGATTTGTTTTATTTGGGCTAGAATAAAAGCAGTTTTTAATAGTTTTAAAGCCATTTTAAGGTCAATATTGTTCGCCCCTTTAGCAATATTAGTGTTGGATTGTCTCCAGAGCAAACCACTGTTATACAATGACTTGCCTAATTACCCTAACTTTACCCTAATTACCCTAGTGAAGCCTTTACATGTCACTGTAAGCTGAACACTAGTGTCTTGAAGAATATCTAGTCTAATATTATGTGCTGTCATCATGACAGAGAAAAGAAACCAGTTATTTGAATTGAGTTATTACAGTATTATGTGCAGAAATGTGTGAAAATCTTCTTTCCGTTAAACAGAAATTGGAAAAAAAATTATACAGACGGGCGAATTATTCATATCTGCGTGTTTCTGATTGGTTTTCTGTGACAGATTCACAGCATGAGGATAATTGTTGACCAGCTGGAGAGTTACGACCGCAGTAATCTGGAGGTGATTCGCCATGAGTTCACCAAACTACAGCGCAAACTGAAGAAATGCCAGGAGGACCAGCAGGACATCACCAACGCTCCCATCGGTATACGCTCACACACACTCACAATAATACTGACAACATTAAAATATATACAGTTGAAGTCAGAAATATTAGCCCATCCTGCATTTTCTCCCCCAATTTCTGTTTAACGAAAGGAATATTTTCCAATCATAATAGTTTTAATAGCAGTAATGCAGTCAATGTATCGGTCCGTTATGGTAAAGAAGGTGCTAGGCCGAAAGGCAAAGCTTTCGAAATGAGTTTCCTTCGCAGGGTGCACCCATATAGACATGGTAAGGGGCTCTGACACCCTGGAGGATCTCGGAGAGGAGCTGCTGCTCCTCCACATTGAAAAAAGTCTGCTGAGGTGGCTCGGGCATCTGCTTCAAGTGCCTCCTGGACGATTAGCTAGGGAGGTGTTCCAGACATGAGGAGGCCTCGGGGAAGACCCAGTACACGCTGGAGGGACTATCTCTCTCGGCTGGCCTGGGAACGCCTCGGGATCCCCCCGGAAGAGCTAGAGGAAGAGTATGGGGAGAGCGAAGTCTGGGGTAGAGATCTGCGCGGGACTAAATTTTGAATCCCGCTCCCGCCCACACCCGCCAGGTTTTAGCCCGAACCCGACCGCTCCCGATAAAAATTAAGAATTTGTTGTCCCGCTGCCCGACCCGCCCCGTTTTCTGCCCGCCGTACCCGTTCCCGCTAAAGAGCGGGGGAGAACACAACCGAAAATCACCCAGCTATACAGTCCAGACAGCCAAGCTGTCTGTATAGACACACACACACACAGCACCAAGCACACACACACAGACAAAGCTCTCTCTCTCTCATACGCGTGCGCACTAACACACACACAAGCACCAAACAGACAAACAGGCAAAGCTCTCTCTCTCATTCGCGCGCGCTCACTAACATACACACACACAAGCACCAAGCACACACACAGGCAAAGCTCTCTCTCTCTCTCATTCGCATAGCAATATCCACGATATTGCTAGACAGCCCGCTCCCGTCCCAAATTAAACTCGTTACCGACCGCTCCCGCGATTTATTCGGAAATTTATTCCCGCGCCGTAGAAATCTGGTCGGGTCCCGCGGGAATGCAGACCTCTAGTCTGGGGTTCTCTTCTAAGACTGCTGCCCCGCGACACAGCCCCTGATAACCGGATGAATATGGCAGTGACATGACATGATTTCAATTAGAACAATATCAACAGCACAATACACAGCTGATTCAGCGGTTGCCTAGCAACATGAAAAGAGCTGAGCAATTTACTTTTTTTCCTGTCAGAACAAGGAAAGTGTGGTGCTTTTGCTGTGCTTGGTCCCTTTAACTACCTTTTCGTCAGACATTCCTTTAACTTTACATTTGGGTGTAAATTAGCTCTCCACCAATATCAAAAGCACAACACAGGCTCCTTCTGAAAACGCAGCACTATGTACATATCTGGAGATCAGAGGTACGTATGGCTGCGTTTTGTCTTTAAAATGAACATTACGAGGCGGTCTGATGCCATACCTTTTCACATTACCAGCTGACCGCTCACCTCCGTATGGACGTCTTTTTCACTGTTACCGATTTGCTCAGTGGCTCACAGCGTATGTCGGTGGACCTGAGATGCAGAGAGGAGTTGACCACAATGACGGGGTTGAAGTCTGACAAAGAAAAGTTTCGGAAAGCGGGTAAGACAAAAAGGGGGTGGGCAGTGGTCAATCTCTGCTTTTGAAAACACTATTGGTTGGGTTTAGTGAAGGAGGAGGGTTGGTTGGTTGGTTGGTAGCGAGGGAGAACAGCAGGCGTGAATGGCATCTGGGAGAGCTTTGAAATCTGAAAAAGCGTACACAGCGGCCTCTGGTGGATTCACGAAAACAAAAACTGCAAAATAGCATAGCTCCTGGGTGTATTTGGTGCTCTCCGGAAATCTATATAGGGGTACGTTTTCAGAATGAGCCTGGGTTGTAAAAGAAAATCTACTCCATTGGTTTGCACGTCTCATCAGATTTCATTGCTTTCTCCTGCTTTCTTGTAGGGTCCTGTAAGCATGCTGGTATTCTCAAGATTGGAAAGCCTGTGGTGAGCCAGCTGAACGCAGACCTGAACGGAGCCTTCAAGTATGGTGGATGGGGAAAGGACTCCAAGCCCTTGTCCGGCTCAGAGAGCATGTACTGGTACTCGGGCAGCTCAGACACGCTGGTCAGCAAAATCTCGCAGTACTCGGCCTACTACACACTGATCACCAGGCAGAGCTTTAAAGCTCATCTGCTGTATGTGGATCGCCAGTACGACTGGCGCGGAGCTGGAAACAACTATGTAGTGAGGGAAAACAACCTGTATTATCAGTACAGAAGCCCTTTCGCGATGGCAAAGTTCAACATGACCAGTGCAAAAGTGGAGACCAAGGTGGTTCCCAAAGCCAGCACACAATTCTCCTACCATTACTCCATCAACCAGAACCTGGACTTCGCCGCTGATGAGTCCGGCCTGTGGGTGACGTACGCCACGGCGGACTCCAACGGTACACTAGTCCTAGGGAAGATCAACGAACAGTCGTTTACAGTGGAGGAGGTTTGGCAGACCAGCATATTCAAGCAGTCGGTCACCAATGCCTTCATGATATGCGGCGTTCTGTACGCGACCCGCTCTGTAGACACCCACACCGAGGAGATCTTCTACACTTATGACACGACTAAAAACCAGGAAAGCCACGTTAGCATTCGCTTCGAGAAGTTCCAGGACTTCTATGTGTACCTGGACTACAATCCCGCCGATCAGAAGCTCTACATGTTCAATAATGGCTACTATGTGACGTACAATCTGAAGTTCAAGGTTGTTTAGGAAGGATCAGTGCGTTCAGGACTGACCGTATGCATGGCGGATGCGTCCGGTAAATGTCACTTGTTTGTGTGCAGTGTCTTGGTGCTAGGGGACCTCATATGCCTGTTTATACAAGATGTCAAATAAGTTTCTGATGTGTCTAGTGTGTGTGTGTTCAGTCTGAGCTCAAAATAACACACAGATAATGTTCTCCAGCTCTCTGAAACTCACCCTTTTAGGCTTTGATCCTAATTGAGGTGTTTTGGTGACTGTCCCTTTAAATTCAAATGAGATTGTGATCTTTTCAGAAGAGGGCGGAGCTACAAATGCCTGTGTGTCAGCATAGTGACAAACTCAAAAACAAGACTAAAGCTCTATGCTAATGAGAGAGAGATGGACACTAGTGGGCGGGGCTTTCCCACTCTGATGACATCATACAGAGGGAGAATGTCAATCAAAGTGTTTCTGCAGACTGTTTTTATCAAGTCTGATAAGTCTTATAATAAATACAATTAACTCATGTTAACCATTAGAGGCTGGATATATTCACACACTTCTGACACACAACTGGGGTTAAACCTCTTATGAAAGTCATTTATACATAGTAGGTGCCCTTAAACACCAACCAGAATCTGTAACTGAGTAAATGAGATGCAAGACATGTTTAAATTAAACTGCATTGACGGGACAACAGCTAAACGGAAGCAAGAAATTCAGCAACCATAATGACACCGTGTAAGTGCTGTGCCAATCCTGTCAATACTGCAAACTCTATATTCTTGTATGACATTTAAATATTTTGAATACATACAAAGAGAGACAAAAGAAACTTTGACATTAGCCCTCATTTCTGCAGTGTCACATTTTACATATTTAAATAACAAATTATATATTATTAATGAAATTATGAGCTGACACTTTACCAGGAAATCAGGAAGTAGCCATGCTGATGGTCAGTTGCCTGAACAGTTTGATCCTTTCTGCGACAAATGCAAAGATTACAATAAAGTTTTACACAAGCATCAAAATCATCAGGTGTGTGTGTTTTTATCCTAAATGTCACAGTGGTGCAGGTTTAACAAACACATGTTTGCATATGTGTTTGTTTTATGTCAATCATTCATTTTCCTTCAGCTTAGTCCTTTATTTATCAGGGATCACCACAGCGGAATGAATCGCCAACTATTCCAGCATATGTTTTACAGCGGATGTCCTTCCTGCCGCAACCCAGTATTGGAAAAATATAGTTTAAAGGAGCTTGTCCTTAAAATGGTGTTTAAAAAATTGAAAACTGCTTTTATTCAAGCCGAAATAAAACAAATAAGACTTTCTCCAGAAGAAAAAATATTATCAGACATACTGTGAACATTTCCTGAATCTGTTCAACATCATTTGGGAAATATTTAAACAAGAAAAAGAAATTCAAAGGGAGGCGAATAATATAATCTAGTATAATTTTCATGGCCTTTATCATGAAATAACTGAACATAGAACCTTGCGTAAAGATGCCACTTAGAGATGAGAAAATGCTGTTTAATTGAAAGATTTCCTTTAACACATTTTTTCTGCTATCAGAAAGTTCAGTAATAAAATTCTCCCTCTCATTTGATTTATTTACTTATTTGTTTTCTTAGGTTTGTTTATTTGTGTATTTATTTATTTAGTTATTTAGCTATTATTATAGTTATTTAGTTTATTTTGTAACCTTAGTAACAGGGGATACACACTGTAAAACATGTCATTTGTAGTTAATATTTTGTGACTTATAATATACAAATGAGCTCATGATCATAATGCAGCACAATTACACAAATATAACAACCGATTTAAAAAATCAGAGCAGTAAATACTTAAACAAATAAATCACGGAATATTACATTAAAACAAATAAAGCATAAATATCTGAAGACATAAATAAGTTATTGAACTGTTATATAGGTGTGGCAAAATGCATCTGCTAATTCAAAAGTAATGCTTATATCAATAACATTATTTTACAGTCAGTCAGTGGCGTTTATTTATTTGTTTATTTTTTTAAGAACAGCATATAACAGTTCACAATACAATATATACATGCCAGGGGGTAAGTATAAATATAATACATATATACAAACAAAATGTACACATGTTATAATTAAATAAATACATTATAGTGTTCTTTTTCAGTGCGCCTGGCTTTTTTGTATTGAGAGTCTCTTATACTGATAATATACAAGCATATTTCAGTCACCAATACCTTAAAATAAGGTTTCTTAATAGTAAATTTACAGTCATGAATGTTAAATTTCCAGTACGCGGAGTTTACATACATTTTCCAGCATTTTTTTTTTTTTTTTTTTTTTTTTTTTTTACATACATTTTCCAGCATCCTGGAGGATGAGGGCGGGCGGTGACGCCACTGGAGAAAGCTCCAATGGAAAGCGTCGGATGTTTCTTCTTCTTCCTGATGCTGAGAGCGGATGCTGAGGGTGAGGATGAAGAAGACGAGCAGCGGAGACGGTTTGCTCTTCATCTTATTCTGTGTACTCATAATGAACAACAACCATCTGTTAGCAACACGAGGCTGTTATGAAGCGCCGGCAGTGTAGTTTGACTTAGCATTAGTGTTTTAGCATCTGCTGTATAAGGTCACCATCACTGCAAATCACGGGCTGCGTGACCTCACGCGTTCATTCATCATCATCATCATCATCATCACAATACAGTTCTCTTAGCATAATTAGCACTGAATACGGGTGAATATTGTATATGACAAGTCGTGTTGCTGTTTTGTGTAATGTGTTAGCCAGCTAGCTGTGTCTATACTGTCTTAATGTGATTCTGATAGTTCCTGATTTGCCTTGTAAACTTCTCTTTAGTAAAATAAAACGCGAACAGAATGAGCTGGTCATGATTTTAATATTTTAATTTATTTTAGTCATTGTTTTAACCCACTGTTGGGTCAAATATTGACAAACCCCAACGTTAATGTAATGTTTTTCAATTAAATTTAAACGTATCTACAAAATGTAAGCTTATTTACATTTGACCCAACGTTGGGTTATAAACACTCATTGTTTAAAGTGTAATTTTCAGGAGATAACATTCTGAGTTTTACTTTCAGTGTATTTGAAACACCCTGTTTATATTACTTTGTTGTAAAATGTAGCATGAATGTTTGTTTTAGTAGCATTCGAGAAATAAATTGTACATTATACACTCTACAAATGCTGGGTTGTTTGTCGGGTTAATTTAACCAATTCAACTTAAATTATCGTTTTTAATTTAATGGTTGTGTTTGTCTATATTTTACCCAATGCTTTGTTTTTTTTTTTAGAGTTAAGTCAATGTCCAAACCTTCATCAGGAAACACTGTAAAACACTTAATTCTTCTGAAATATAAGCTTAGAGTTCACATGTAACCAAAACTTACAGTGATATTTTGCTATCTTAAATCAAATAAGTGAAAAATAAATAAAAAAATCCATTCGTTTTGGTCATTTTTAATCAAAATCTGCTCATCTGCATCTGCTCTGGATCTCTGATTGGCTGAAATATGCTTAACTTGTGCCTGCATTTATCCTTTATCACAGGAAAAAGCCTCATCCGCACACAAGAGAGCCCGTGATATGATGGAAACACTGGATCTCAACATCACCGTTTCATGACAGACCTCAGGGGTCACTAAGGTCAGACGTGTGTCCATTCTTACAAATACTGTAAGATGACGTTACGATTACTAATGTTATAAAACAAACAGTTAACGATCCAGATTGTGAATAGATGTTGATCTGAATAAATTTATTAAGAGGGAATGCAGACCTCTCGTTCTTATTTACCACGTCTCCCTTCTTGTTCGGTCGGAACCGGAAATACTGTCAAACTGCAGGTCACTTAGTGCACGACTCGCCACCTCACCTCTCTCTCTCTCTCTCTCTCTCTCTCTCCTCCACACTGTCATGTGATGACAATCACGCATACGCATTTGTAGGCATTAAATAAATAATATGTATTATTTAATACTTGTCTCTTATTTAAGTGCATTGTTTTTATGACGGTATTAAAACTGACACCGTTGCTGTTTTTAGATCCCGCGGTATAACATATTATCCAAGCCTAATATATATATATATATATATATATATATATATATATATATATATATACATATATATATATATATATATCGTTTGAAAAATGATTCGCTTTCCTGTGAAATTTAACCTTTTCAAATCATTTCCAAGTGATGAACAGAGCAAGGAAATATTGTATTTTCTTCTATCTATATTATTAGCCCTCTTCATTGTTTCCCCAGATTGTTCAGTGACTTGCCTAATTACCCTAACTTTACCCTAATTACCCTAGTTAAGCCTGTAAACATCAGTTTAAGCTGAATACTAGTGTCTTGAAGATTATCTAGTCTAATATTATGTGCTGTCATCATGGCACAGAGAAAAGACATCAGTTATTAGAGTTATTAAACTATTATTATTAGAAGTCTCTCAGGCAGCACATGCGGTATATTTAGAAAAATAACTTAAATGTAATAGCTTTGCCTGCAGCTGTTTGTTAGTAACATGTTGATGTTTTGTACAGGTGTGCCTCAGTACACATGTGTGCGGATACAGACGAGACGCTGGGTTTCTAATGACCAGAAATGAGCAGCTTGAGAAGCGTTTCTACAACTACAGATCCGTCTTCTGGTTCTGGTCTTTTCTGCCTGACAGACCAATATGGCAAAGAAAGACTATCTGCTCGATGCTGCCCAGCAGATCCGAATGGCGCTGGACCGAGAAGTGAACGAAGATTACGAGGCGGCGTTCAGCTACTATAAGAACGGAGTCGATCTGCTGCTCAATGGAGTTCAGGGTACGTCTGCTGTTGGTTTATCCTGCAAAGGTTTCCCATAGGTCACCTATGATGCAACATAGACTTGTGTAAGCTGTTTGGTGCAGACGTGAGAGTAGGTATAGGCAGGGCCGAAGCAAGCTGAACTGCCGCTCTAGGCAGAGGACGATCACGCCGGCCTCAACCCCAATATGTGAAAACGAAAGTGACCGGTTATGAAAATGAAGTGAGGTGTCGCGGACCTCTATTCTGCCGCCCTATGGGCAGATATAACTGAGGACATGCGGGTGCTGATGGAGGTGTCGCTGACGCTGCCCTCTCTATTCTGTCGCCTATGCGCAAATATGTCTGAGGACGCGGATGGTGAGGGAGGTGTCGCGGACATAACTGAGGATGCGGGTGGTAAGGGGGGTGTTGCGGACGCCGCCCTCCCTATACTGCTGCCCTAGGCGGCCGCCTAGGTCGCCTCTATGGACGCGCCGGCCCTGGGTATAGGTCATATTAGAGTGGAACATTTCTTAAAATAGGATCCAAATCTCAGTGAGGGATTTGAGGTCGACCACAACGTGACGTAGGCAACCCAGGCTCATTCTGAGAATGAGAAATTTCTGGAGACCGCAAGATACGTCCCGGGAGGTACGTATTTGTGCAGTTTTTGTTTTCACGAAGCCACGAGAGGCTGCTGTGCGCGCTTTTTTGCGTCTCGAACAGCGGGCGCGAACCGTTCTCGCGTGAACCCGCCAGAGGCCTCTGTTGGAATGACCTTCCGCCTGTCTGCCTGGATGACAGATTGATTGACCGTGTGACCGACCCACCCTCTTCCTTCCCAAAAGCTAACCAACGATGATTCAAAAAAGCCGTCCAAAAAAAAAGGCTTAGTCTGATTTTCACCACGTTTTTGGATTTTGACCGCATTCTCGCCCCGTGATGAACTCGTTCGCTTTATTTTTTAGATTTAATTTTAGTTTTCTCACCTGATTTCTGGAACCGCTCTTCCCCGGACTCGAACCCGGTCATCGTTGTCGTGGTCAGCCCCTCTCTTCGCCTCCAGTTCGCCGATGCACACAAACAGCAAACTGGACAAACTGGTTGCGGCGGGAAAGCCCTCCACAAGGAGGCGAGCGGCCGGCAGGCAGGCAAGCGCCGAAATGTAGGAACGGCATCACACCGCCCCGCAGCATTTGCTTAAAAATTTAAACGT